GTTGGTAGGCCAACCGGCTGATTTTTAAACCTCTGTGATTGACTAGACAGGGCCTAGGCGATGGAAGAGATCTGGTTAGAGTAGCACATACCATTTATATCTTGAGCAAAGATTCTGGGTGGCAACAAAAACATGATATTGCAGTCTTACAGTCTCAAGAATATGGTAATACCTTGACATCTCAATCCTTAGAGCTTAAATAAGAAGAGCTGTAGGCGTTTGGACTAGTTAATTGGCCAACTTCTAGCCAATCGTAGCATCCATAAGGCGAGCAAGCAATTTGCTCAATTCTTAAAACCGCCTTAGGTAACCTAAAGCTGCCCCATCATGAACTTACTAATTTATCTTACGCCTCTACTTCTGTGCAACTTTCGAGGTTAGTAGTTGGGTTTTTGACTGAACTAACATATAATAGGTGGGCTTGGCTTCAAGGAGGCCAGTCGGTTGTACGATGTCCTCATGAACCAACAGGGTTATAACAAAGTCCTTCGCCCTGTTAGTCATGCAAATGAGACATTAACTGTATTTTTCGGGCTGGGGTTGTTACAGTTGATGGATTTGGTAAGTCCCAGTATATTTTCCTCCATTATACACTCACGAGATAATACCTGACATTTGTTTAAAAAAAGGCGGCTTAGTTTTGTAAGCAAAATAGGTAGTGGGAGATTCCAAAACCCCCACTGCTGCGGATATCGGTAGCAGACCTCTGCTATCAGAAGTTGCATAAAGACAGCACACAGAGTTTTCACACCCAGCTTTGAAGTCTGAGAATAATGGGAGTGACAAAACTAGAGTTAGGGCTACATTTATTCTGTTGTAAACACTCTTCTTATTAGTTCCCATCCTGTCTCATATGCATCTGTCTTCAGGACGAAGTGAACCAAATTTTGACCACCAATGTGTGGGTTGAGTTGGAGTGGACCGATTCCAAGCTTATTTGGGAACCTGAGGATTTTGGTGGAGTCACGGCTCTCTTTATCCCCTCGGAACAACTCTGGCTGCCCGACCTACTGCTTTATAATAAGTAGGCTGCATTTCGAGATGGCCTATTTTGAAATAAGTTGGGCGTATCACAAACAAAAATCAAAGCACTTACCTAAAATATGGCTTAAAGTACTGACAAGACAGTTTTTCTGTCGTAATAGTTGTTAACTTGCGTCAATGTCATTGTAAATAATCCCCAAAATATTTTCCAACGCCAACTGAGAGTTGCGGCAGCGGCCAGTTATGACTAAATTTCGCAAAAAGGATGGAAAGTTTGAACATCTGCAGCATGTAGTCAAGCGTCATTTCACTACAAAATGAGCCCTCGCCTGCCTCTCTTGCCCAGGCCTAAAAATCCGCGAGATTTCGTCCTGTCAATGACTACAGACGCCCCTATTTATCCAATGTGCCAAACTCATGAGGCGGTGGTGATAACTGCCAGCGCAGTGATGTCATAAGACAGCGGTTCACGTTCACTCCAACTGAGGCTGCATGGTCTCCACCTTTTAGTAGGTAGTATGGCAAGGGAACAGTTACGTTACCAGCTCTTGGTACTCCAATTCTCATCATTAACTGTTCAAAATTAATCTGCGCCACTTTTTTACTTTAGTGCTGATGGGACTTACGTGATTGATATAATGACCAAAGCTGTGGTCTTTTACAATGGGACAGTGAAGTGGACACCGCCAGCCATTTTCAAGAGTTCATGTCCTATCAACGTTCAGCACTTCCCCTATGACATTCAAGAGTGCTCAATGAAATTCGGTTCGTGGACGTACAACGGACATGAAGGTAGTTGCAGAAGTCCTTAAGGTGTGACAGCAAAGAGTGCTGCAGCTTAACAACGTGAAGAAATTCAGTCATCTAGTCCAAGATTTTTTAAGAAAGCATGTTCCGGAAAAGACAATATTTTTTGGGCCATCTAGCAGTTTCACAGAACACCTAGGTTTTTCACTTTTTTCAAAGTAATAAGGGGTTTTGGACTACTTTTTTAAGTCTGCACCATTGTTATGTTTAAAAACTCGTGTAAATGCTGCAAAGGAACTGCGTCACAGCATTTTTATGCCATGAAAGCGGGATTTCTGCCCCTCTCCCGTGCAATTTCTTCAACTTGGTCTTTGTTGGAATAGTAAAATGGTTCAGACGGATCGGAACATCACACATTATTTATTACTTCACTGTGTATCTGTTTCCCAGTGATTCCTTTTACTGATGCTTTGAGGTTTCTGTGGTACAGTATCAATAAGTTCGAGTCTATTTTTACCAAATTTTCTCTTTAGTGAGCTTGAAACACATCACACAGAAGCGCATTCCCGAACACGAAGGCAACGTGCATATCGACCACGCTATCATCCTGAAGGACTTCTATCCCTCAGTGGAATTTGAACTTCTCCAGGTGTCCGCCATTCGGCGTGCCGAATACTACACCTGCTGCAAGGATCCCTTCATCGACGTGACCTTTAAACTAGCACTGCGACGAAAGACCCTCTTCTACACCATCAATCTCATCATCCCCTGCGTGGGTATTGCTTTCCTCACCATCCTCGTCTTCTACCTGCCCTCGCAGAGTGGTGGAAAGATCGCCCTATCCATCAATGTGCTCCTTGGATTGACTGTCTTTCTCCTCCTCCTAACTGAGTCCATTCCTCCCACGGGTTTAGCGATGCCACTAATTGGAAAGTACCTCCTCTTCACAATGGGCCTTGTCTCGCTCTCAATCCTCAATACGATCTTTGTGCTTAATTTGCACAACGGGACACCGAGTAGACCAGCCCCGGTGATTGTGAGCAGGCGGTTGGGTTGGTTGTTGCGGTTGATTGGAATAGAAGCACCAAAAGTGCCCCAGGTGACAGTTTCTTCCTTTAGAAAATATAAAGTCCTAACATCTTTGCAACTCTGTTGCCTTAGCCAAACTAGCTTTCAAATGCATAAGATAAGACATCGATTTAATATGATTTTTCTGACTTTATGAGTTACCTAAATCAAGTTTTTAAATGTACTGAAGGGTATACGCGGTGAAAGCTCGACTTGGCGATTTGTGACAGCTAAAAAGATCAGGCCCGTCCCTCAGAACACCCTGTTTGCTGAACGTCGTCTTAACAGTTTTATCCAGAATTTGCGCACTCTAGCCGAACACTTTTCAAAACTGGAGGAAAGAAGGCGGGTAGGCCTTCGCACTTTTGAAGTTCAACTAAAAGGTCGCCTTATTAATTCGTACCTTAAATAGCTTCTAGGTTTCTTTTACGTTAAACTTGTAAACTAGTATTTATGCTTATTGTAGCCAGAATCGTTTCAATTATTTGATATGTCCATAACTTAAGTCTCTTCGAATAAAGCGTTAAAAACCAAGACAGTGTTGGTAAAAAGATAGAAACTCTAAAAGTGCTTCTCTGCCAGCCTTAACTTATTCAACTACTAATAGACGATTCTATCTAGAGTTTTTCAGCATCGGTTAGTTTATACTTGCTGCAGACTTTATGTCACTTCACAAGCAAAGCAGCTAAGCAGAAAATTTACTGTGATTTTTAGCATTTCTCAACTTTATAGATACAAGAAGATTGGATGTACCTTGCGATGATATCAGATCGTTTGTTCCTATGCATATTTGTTGCAGTTTGCTTAACAGGTAAGGCAAATCAAAAGTTTGTTACTTTATGTTTCAATAAATTCACACAAATATGGCATGTTTGGTTGTTTCATTGAAGGTGCTCTGGCTATTATCTCCCACTCACCATCTTTCTACGACAACCGGGAAGCCTTGACATCCAGTAACATCCCGAGTAGTATCACTTTACGTCTTGAAGGGCAGAAAAATGCTTCTGACAGCTTGCTGATTCTGCCGAATACCTAAAATGTACAACATTTGTTGAGTAGGCACTGTAAAGCAGGTATGCTTGCAACTATGCTTCTTAAAAACTGTTGTGCAGTAGCACAACAAGGGCCAGGCGTTAGTTTGGGGGAAGTGTGTGCAATTCAGACAAGGTTTCAGTGAAGCATGCTTCTATGTAGGACGAAGCTCGTAGATCTTCCCTTCCCTGGTCCCCATACTCTTAGAACACCCAGATTGATTTAACTTCTATATTTTTATTAGGATAAGTAAATGGGGATAGCAAGTACAGAGTTTGAGGGGGTGTGTGGACACGGAACTGCTCTCCGGGTTGCAGGACATTGACGCCCAGTCGCGAGGTTTGAGTCGTATTCCCGCCTCCTCTCTGAAAGCAACATTAAACAACATAAGTATTCCATCTGGGCTTGCATTTTAAGCATCTTGAATGCAGTACAAATGCATATGAATGTCGGGGTTACGCAACACGGGATTGCAAGAAGATTTAATATGAAGCGTAATCAAGGCAGTATCACAGCTAATAATGCACTTTGAAAGAATTATGGGATTTAAATCAGCCTCAACGTATTTGCTGAATACCTACCCCTTAAAAATTCAAAGGGAAAGTGTTGATTTGTTGAAATGGATGTATAAATACCACACACTTGTAACATTGCACATCAGCAGATAAAACATGAGTGAAAGTAAAGCAGAATTAAATTTGCCTTTAACTGTTCATATTTTCTAGGGGTTTTAGCAATATGGAACCTCTTTGTTGCCACTTTATGGAGTCATTATTGCAGCTAAAGGCACCTTCTAGACATTTTGCATGAAAAATTTCATTTTTTAACTTGTAGAGCTTAAAACCTCACCATATTTA